CCCCTCCCCATGCCCTAAATAAACTCTATTCTATATCTATACTCTATTGTCATGTGGCTGGTACCTCAGAGGGAAAGGATGCCTCAGCATGGGCTCACAGAGGCACCCCCTTCCCCCACACCATCCCATGGCTCCACCAAACACATCCCTGGCTTCTCTTTCTTTTTATAAAACACAACAATCAGAGTTTGAGACCCCATCACCATCAAAGTCTACATCCAGTTCCAGTAAGAAGAAGAGGAAGGCATGCTTTGTAACATGATGAGAACTGTTGGCTGGAACGGACAGATAAGTCTTCCCACCCCTCAGTTCCATCAGCTGGCTTGAGTCCATCTATCCTCTATAAGAGTGGCCTCCTAAAACTGTTATTAAAGCAAGCCAATGTGGTTGGCTGCCACCTGTGATCCAAGCATTCAAGAGGCTGAGTCAGAAGGATTGTCTAGAGTTTGAGGCTAGCCTGGAGCACATAGTTTACAGAGTGAGTTCCAAGCCAGCCAGGGTTGTAAACAGAGACCTAGCTAAAAAGAAATGTAAAATCAATGAAACATAGCACACAGGTGAAATGTGTCCTCTTGTAGTGCTGGGGGCCTGGGGTCTGAAATCCATGTCCCTGCTCTTGAAGCAGGGCATCAGCAATGTCCCTCCACAAGCTGCTGGGGAAGTCCAGGCACTGACGGCTACATCAATCATTCACCCAGGATCATCTCACTTGACCTGTTTCCTTAGCCATCTTGCCGTCTCCTGTGTGTCCCACCAGCCTCACCTCCATCCTATAAGGACACTGGACAACCCATCCAGGAAACCCAGCACAATTTCAGACACTCTCCATCAGTTCCCCTGGTTTCAAGGACTGGTACCAAAGGATCCAGCAACCAGTTAGTGCTAAGGCTGGAGCTCAATGACCCCCAAAGTCCTGTGTGTATAAGCTTGACTTTTAGAGTGGCACTGTGGAAAATTTAGGAGATGGGGCCTAGTGGGAAATCTGTAGGTCAATGTGGAAGTTTCATTGAGAGGGATTATGAGTTGTGAGGTTCAAGGACCTCCCTTTCCTCCCCTTGATATGCTAGCTACGAGGTGAGAGCTCTGCTTTGCCACACATACCCATCATGCTCTGCTGCCTCTCCACAGACCTGAAAGCATCAGGTCCAAGGTATCCTGGAATAAAATTGTAACCCAAAATAAACATTTCTCTCTTTTTGACTATCACACATGTGTATTACAGTAACAGAAAGCTAAGACAATTATGCCCCATGCTAGGTCATGGCCACATCAATAACATAGCCTTCTGTTTGTTCCTTCTCTTTGGGGCCCAACTCTTGTGCCCCAAACTGTTCCTGCGCCAAAAACAACTTCTCCACAAGGAGGCAGCACATGAGGCTTCCTCAAAACCTACTTTTCTGGTTAACCCAAAGCACTATTTGTAAACCAGGAAGACAAGTTTACATGCTAATAGTGGAAGCGATGATAGAAACCATAATACAGGGATTCCTAGAGTTTTCAAAGAGATTTTACCTCTTCCAGGGTGTTGCTTAATTGTGAAAAGAGAGACTGACACACAAAGAGAATATGTGGGATTTAAACTGTGTTAAAAAGTTCATTTCTACACTAAAAAAAAAAAAAAAGTCCAACAGTGTGAATTTGGGGTAGGATACCTGTGCTGTAGATGCAGTTAGGAAATAAACAGCGGTGTGGGTAGTGGTTCAAATGAGAATGGCCCCTATAGGCTCATAAGTTTGAGTACTTGGTCCCCAGTGAGTAGAACTGTCTAGAAGAATTAGGAGTCATGTCATATCTTAGTTAGGGTTTTACTGCTGTGAACAGACTCCATGACCAAGGCAACTTTTATAAGGACAATATTTAATTGGAACTGGCTTACAGGTTCAGAGGTTCAGTCCATTGTCATCAAGGCAGGAACATGGCAGTATCCAGGCAGGCATGGTGCAGGAGGAGCTGAGAGTTCTACATTTTGTTCCAAAGGCAAACAGAAGACTGGCTTCCAGATAGTTAGAACAAGGGTCTTAAAGCCCGTGCTCACAACGACACACTTTCTCCAACAAGGCCACACCTTCTAATAGTGACACTCCTTAGGCCAATCATATTCAAACCACTACATGGCCTCTTTGGAGGTGTGTTATTTGAGGTAAGCTTTAAGATTTCAAAAGCCCATGCGATTCCCAGTTAACTGTCACTGCTTCGTGCTTGTGGTTCAGAAGTGAGCTCTCAGCTGCCGTTTCAGCTGCTCTTTCAGCACCATGCCTACCTGCCTGCTGCAATACTCCCTGACACAATGGTCATAGACTCTACTACCCTCCAGGACTGTGAGCCCCAAATAAAATGCTTTCTTTTATAAGTTGCCTTGGTCATGGTGTCTTACAACAGCAATAGGAAAGTAACGAAGACCAAAGGGCATTCCCTCTGCTAAGGGAAACTTACACAGACTAATGGGCGTGTGTATGTTCACTACAGAGGGACTCACTGAAGAGTCACTAAGTATAGTCACACTTATGCCACAAATATGCTTTTGGTGTGTGAAAGCAACCTGCATTTCTCCAATGCACAATATCCTGGCTCCTGAGCATATCTGAAAGTAACATCTACAAATCTCAGAATATGCAGACTTTGGACTTGTTCTTACCTATAGGTAGAACTTTCTACTGTGCCCCTCAGAGATAATACTTGTACAGTCAAAGATTATGGAAGTTGGGTATTTTCACAAAGGAACTTTGTTAGTTTCTTTGTTTCAGAAACTGAATAACTTTTAGGTTCTGAAAAGAATAGACAGGCAGCCAGTCACCCTGAACTCTTGAGAGAAACAGCATCAAACTTTTCTTGTTTAAAGGACAAATACAAAAACAACAGAAACCGTCAATCATGCACACCTCTTCTCCCAACACAAGGAATGTATGTATGTTAGTGGAGGCATCTTCTGGATATTCCATGACCGTCTCCAAGAGTGTAAGATGAAACTAGTGGAACGTAAATGTATTTAGGAGGTGTCCTCTGATGGGCACCTACCTTGGGCACAGCCATGTTTAACAGGGGTTGATGAGCTGGACAGTTCATACTGGATCATTTCTCTCAAAGAGATTCCCTTGGACAGCATACTTTCCATCTTTGAACCCTATGTCGTTTCTGTCTGTTCATAGCTAGAGCGACACGCTCCCCAAATGTCAGTGCTCTTTCTTTTCCTCTTTTGGCTTGAACATACATAAAGACGTGGAGACAGACGCACAATATGAACACAGTGTCGGGACAATACTTTCCATAATGACCATGATACTGTAGCAAAACACCCAAGATAATCAAACTTAAAAGAGAAAATGTTTGTGGTTTAGAGATTTTCAACCTATGACAGGCCAGCCCTGGTACTTTGGCCTTGTCGTGAGGCAGTACCCTTCTGGTAGAGGTTACCAAACAATGCAGGCTACTTTGTCTCATAGCTGGAGTGACAGACAGAGGAAAACCCTAGTTCTCCCCCTCAGTGGCATGCCCTCAATGTCTGCAAGACTTTTCATTAGGCTCCAGCTCTGAAAAGTTTCATCTACCTCCTGTTACTGCCGTATTTGGGACCCAGATTTTTCTACAGGTGCTTTGGGAGCACAATCCAAGTCAAATGCCAGCAAGTAGAGAAGCCCCCTCAAGGCTCAGTACTCTCCCCTGAAAACCCCCCTCAAGTCTCAATACTCTCCCCGGCTCAGAGAAGAGCCAACTCCAACCAGGGAAATTCCACAGGCGAACCTCTGTACTTCTAGAAGATTCTAGACATGGGTACAAGATAAAAAATAACTTATAGAGTCTTCCAGCTCTTCTTTACATAGCATCAGCAAGCTTGAAAACTTCCCTGTGTCCCAACTCACAGCCAGTTCTCAAATAATGACAATGAATGACTCAGAACAAAGCAACTAAAGGGCTAGAGGAACTGCTGTGGAGTTGTGAGGGTTTCCCTAGTGCTAGGAATGAAACCAAGGAAATCACACTTGCTAGGCAAGGTGTTCTGCCACTGAGCATCCCAGGTCAGTACAGGACATTTCTAAAAGACATCTGATGTAAACAAACAGCGTGTTAGAAAGAACAGCAACACAAAGCCTGAGACCTGCCCTTTAGGGCCCGCCTGCCATGTTACCTTGTTCCTCACATACCCAAGTAGAGATAATAACACAATTCTGTAGATAATATTATTGTAGATATTATAGATATAGATAATATTATTATAGATACTATTAACCACCAATACAACAGCTTATTATTTAGAGAATACATGGTTTTATTATACGGATTCAACCAGCTGGGGACAATGTGTGTCCATATTTTAAGATAGCATCACAACATATAATTTAAGCCAAAAATATGAGTATCTAGAATGCTGAGATTTCATATGTGTGTCACCACACCCAGCAAAGATGTCCATCTTTTGGTCTGGAAGCATAACTGTACAAGGTCTACCCTAAAGTACAGACATCATCAATAAAGATGTCATCATCCATCAACAAGTTCCTGCCATGTCCAGCTCTCCTCAGTTACAGACAGAGGAAGTGTCTGCCATGATCTGCATCTGCGACTGAGCTAACTAACCGTAGTAGAACCTTATCCCTGACCTTAACTTCTCCCCCTAAATTTTCTATTACTTCCCTTCCCATGCCACGTCTACTCATAAAATTAGTGAATCGCCAAGGGCCATGAGCAGTTTTGTTAAATGAACGCTGTTGTAAAGCACATGTACAAGAGACAAATAGTACAGTGCTCAGCCCAGGATCCCATCTCCAGTGGTGGAGCTGGATGTAGGGGGTGGGGGAAGCAAACAAAGGAAAATTGCTATACATGTATTTCTTCAGTGGTGTTTAATAGATACATATTAAACTTAATGACAGTTATCAGGACCTAAACTTCTCCCTGTACAGAGCCACGAGGCTTCTTAGACCATACAGTCTCTGCCACAGCCATTTGGTGCTGTATAAATACACTAACACTATAAACAATACAGAAAACAGTGGGCAGGTCCATGTCCAGTAGAACTTTATTCGTAAGAATATGCAACAGGGATGATGCCCAGGGATCCTGTTTGCCAACCCTTGGCTAGCACCAGCTTGGAGGCAAGTCTTGTCCAAAGCATCATTTCTTCACATGAGCACTTTCTGTTGGAGTAGGGCCTTCACAACACTTGATGGAGGCTCACACCTAGGCACTCTGTCCCTCTCCCTCGATGTCATTGATAAGTGCCAATTGGCAGGACAAACATCCTTCCACGGCAGTTATTCTGAAAGACAAAACAGGGGTAGAGATTAAAGCCAGACCCAGGTCTTTGTGCTGTGCTCAGCATATCAAGTGGTCCTCTTCAGATTGGACTGTGTTGGCTGTACACCTTCAGAAAGAGACAGAACTATTCTTTCATTTAACAGTCTTCAATGCGGGTGTGGGAGGGCAGGTTTACGAAAGGCCCTTTCTGAAATGCCGGCTGAAAGAAAATCATTCTCCCTGGCACCACGAACTCTTTCTCATGTGAAGCTGCGTGATCACTCTTCATGTCGTTCCTCAAGCACCCCATGGCACCCATCCATGTATTAGGCTAATAACTGCATGAAGCTAGTTAAAAGGAACCAAGCAATTATTTTAATTAGAAGAGAACAAAAATAACACTCCTGGCTTCTGTTTTAAGGGGCAAGAAGGAAGTAGTCAGGGTTCAAAAAGATCCCACAAAATATTTTTTGTGAAAGGAAAAATAATTAAGGCCAAATTTAGAATGTACTTGCAATAAATGGGCCAAATAAAATGAATGCCCCACTGTGCAGCCAGGGCCCATTCACAGAGAAGAGCCTCAGAAAGCCCATTTTTATGTGATACCATCTTGAGGACACGGCCAATTTTACACAGTGAAAGTGAATGTCTAGTAGACTTTAATGATCCTTGTGAATCCCTCACACACCCTCTTAAAAGAGTTTCTGTGTAAACTCTTTTATTAATAAGAGACAGGGGCAGGATCTCGTTCAATTTGCCTTTTAAGCAAGACTCTTTTTTTTTTGTTTGAATTTTTAAATTGCTCAGGAGAAATCTACCTTCACAGAAGATCCCTGTTGCTAATCTATTCAATAAATGGTGGCATCCATCATAAGAAGATTTTAATAACTGGACTGCACTTTGTTACACAGGGAGAGCACTGAGATACAGAATTACAGAATCCCCCCAGCCTTGGCCTCCAACCTTCAGCTGACTGTGCAGGTAGACCTCTTGCTTCTATCCCAGTCTTATACAAAGAAACAAAATGAAACCCAGAGCTGTCAGCTAGCTGCTGTGGTTTGTGCTGTGTGTATCTATAAATGTTAGTTGAGCACCTACCCCCCTACACACACACACACACACACACACACACACAAACACACAGAAAATTCCAGATCCATCCAGATCACTGGGGCCAGCACTCTGCCACAAGAAATTCCACATCTGTCTATTCTCACAGACAAATCGTGGGCAGAACTAAGAGCCAGCAGCCCCAGCTGGAGATGGAGACAAAGACTGTCTAGCCTAAGCATATTATTAAAGAGTGGAAAAAATGCATAGATGGTTTGTCGTAGGTAGAAAGATCAGCATGAACAAAAGCTGAGACACTTAGAACCCTGGTCCACAGACAGCTAGCAGTAGACACTAGTCAGAGTAGAATAAGAGTGAACAAACCAGAGACTAGAGTAGCCATGAAAGAAAGTGGAGAGCTAAGCCACATCCAGGTGCTGTAGTTTGAATACTGGTGTCTTCTTGGGTTCGTACATTATCCTAGTACACAGTCTGGATTCCGATCCATTCTTTTTCAGGCATTCAACTGTTGACTCTTAAATGGAAATCTGACCATGTTAACCTCTTGCTCAAAAAACATGAAGTGGCTGTTCAAGTTTGTTTTCTGTTGTTGTAATAAACATCATGACTAGGGCTGAAGAGATGTCTCAGTGGTTGAGGGCACTGACTGCTCTTCCAGAGGACCCAGGTTCAAATCCCAGCACCCACACGGCTGCTCACAACTGTCCGAAACTCCAAGATCTGACACCCTGACACAGACATACATGCTGGCAAAACACCAAAGCACACAAAATAGATATAAATAAATTAAAAATAAAAATAAATAAACACTATGACCAAGAGCAATTTAGGGGAGAAAAGACTTTATTTCACCTTCCACGTGCAGATCACAGTCTGTCACTGAGGAAAGCCAAGCAAGAACTGAAGCAGAAACCATGGAAGGATGCTGCTTACTGGGCTGCTTCTTGGGCTCATGTTTAGCTGACTTCCTTATACAGCCAAGGCCCATCTGTCTAGGGATGAGGCAAGCCACAGTAGGTTGGACCTCCCCACAGCAATCAGTTGAAATAATCTCTCACAGATATGGCCATACACCAATATGATTGTAGCAATACTTCAGGATTCAGTTCCCTCTTCCAAGGTTACTCTAGGTGGTGTGAATAAAAACTATTTAGCAGAGTGGCTTTGCAGATACAGAGTATGACGTTGTTAAGAGGTGGGGCCTTTGGGTGATGATAAAATCATGGTCTTTAACCTTCATGAATGAGAATAGTGCCCACATTGTAAAACAAACAAAACAAAAACGCCACAAACTGCCTCTCAGAGTTTTCTACCATGCAAGAATGCAGCTAAGACACCATTTATAAGGCCCTAACTGGACACTGCAGCTATTGGCACTTTAGACTTTCCCCACTTCTAAAACTATGAGCAATAAGTACATTTCTTATATTTATAAACTATCCAGTCCAGGGCCAAGAGTGAGGCTGTGAGGCAGAGTACTTGCCTGGCAGGCAGAAGGTTCTAGTTTGATCCTCAACAGCCCAAAACAAGAAATTCTCAAGTCTAAGGGTTGGATGTGCTTAAGCAGCCTACATAGACAATAATTACAGGCCATAGGTGAACCTGTGCCAAGCCTACATTCACACTGCAAAACAATACAAAATCAGCTCAGGGTTTTCAGCAAGGGGTTAATATGGTCAGCTTACCAGTACAGAGTCCAGCCTGTTGGTTATAACAGGTTGGTCCTGCACTAGGTTGACACCAACCAAGAAAGCAGGGTCCTATACAACATAGGACTGGAGCATGTTTTTAAAATTAAAAAAAAAAAAGTTATTTCTCAAGAACAGTGCCCGAAGCTTCAAAGTCAGAACTAGCTTTGAAGACTCACCATGAGGACGATGTTTTAGCTGACTATTTGTCTCTTGTCCCAGGAGGCTTCTTCTGTTGTAGATTTTTTTTTTAAACCTACATGGCCATGGCACATGGCTTCCAAAATCCAAACAGAGTAACTAACCCCAGCTTCTGACACAAGAATATACTGTTGAAATGGCCTTTGGAAACTCAGCAAACAGTCCGGTTACAGTTACTTTCCTATGCAAAACTCATACAGAGCCAGATTCCCACTTCAAGACACACAAAAGATTGGAAGGAGAGAAAGCTGTGGCGAGCGCTCAGGGGGCGCTGATAGATTGCTCTGTTGAACTAGACTTCCGGTGTGTTCCCTAGACTTCCGGCGTGTTCCCTCTGACCAAAATCTAGAGAAAATATATCTCTTCTCTCACTTTACAATCTGAACTTGATGACGTGACGGAGTAGGACATTACTGAACGTTGTAGTCACACTTAATTCACAGACATCGTTATGAGAGTGCCTATTGCCAAAACGAAGAAAACATATGCAACGGGATGTAAAATAAAACCTTCACATCCAAGTTGGGTTTAATCCAAAATACAAAGTTGGTTAACATTCAAAAACACATTGAAAAAAAGATAGGAAAGCAGGCAGGGGCTGTGTTAGATAGAAGAAGCATTCCGAGGAAGAGCATGGAAACTACTAAAAGCTGGTGTGTGAGTGCGTGTGCGTGTGCGTGTGTGTATATGAAATTGTTAAGGAATTTAAAAGTGAGAGAGAAACCCGCTGAATAATTTGTCATCTAGGTGGAATAAAGAGGGAAGGACATATCATCATTGTGAATGAAGGGAGTATTTAACTTACAGTAAAAAATGCCAATGCAGAGCACTGGGGAAGGAGGTCTTTTCCTGTGATGGATGCAGAAGCAGACACTGAAAATAGAAGGGATAACTTGATCTCTGCCATCGGCCAGGAATGCAGCTCTGTGGTGTAGAACATTTGGCATTCACAGAATCTTTAGGGTTCACAAGAAAGAAATACGGGGCAGGGAAAATACAGAAATTGGAGAAAGGAAAGAAAAAAGACAGAAGGGGGAATGAAGGCCATGTAGACTGTGGATTTAAATATAAAAAGTGAAATAAAAAACTTACTAGAAAACATCATTAAGATATTTTTATAGCCTGGGGTTAAGGAAAAACTCTCTCCAAATAATAAAGGTACCAGCCATAAAGAAATGAACCCATCCACAAGAAACCATAAAGAAAGTGAAAAGTCAAGGTCAGAAGCCTTGTAACATTCTCAGCACTTGAAAGTTGAAACCATAAGAGATCCATATGTAAATCATATGCACATCTACAAATCAGCAAGAAAAGATGAGAATTCAATATTAAAATAAGCAGTCTGGGCATAAGCAAGGGCTGGGTAGATATGCACTTGCATCACAAGCATGAAAACCTGATTTTGAATCCTCAACACCCACATGCATGTAGTAACAGAGAGAGAGAGAGAGAGAGAGAGAGAGAGAGAGAGAGAGAGAGAGA